ATTTTTACAAGGTTTCATGAAATTGCGTAATGCAGTCAAATGTAACGACACAAAACAGGTTTAGCGTGGCTCAACTCTTCGGTTGGAAGAGGAGATTGGTAGAAGAAATGCACGAATTCTTCTCACCGGAAACCGATGGGCAGCATATTTGAAGAAAAGATGGATTTCGAAGAATTTCATAATGATTTATTATGACTCCAATTTGCATCTAAACGATGACTTCTCTGCACAACTAAACAGCCTTCATTCTAGACCAATCCTCCTTCGGTTTGCGGAGAGACTATTTCATCAATTCCATCGAGATGAAAACTAGTCAAAATACAATTGTATTGTGAAGATATGAACAAAGACTAGCTTTCGAAGAGTTCCTCATTGATGAATTGTGCAATTTCGAAGAAAAATTTGTTTAAAAGAAATCTTCTCATTCAAAACCGAAGAAGTCTTCGGATTACCGCCCTGCCACACCAACGAACCTATGCAGGGCTTACGTCTGTGCCGTCGTGGCAGACATCATCATAGCAAGACGCCATTCTGTACGAAGTAGCACACCATTGTGCTAAACAAAGAGAAACGAAAGCCGCTTGCAACCTTTGTCACTTGTTGCGATCTGAATGAGCCGTCTCATGGTTCTGTCGGCTACCTCAAGCCTACTTTACATGCTTGCAGGTGGGTAAGGTTAATTGATGTACAGGAAGTGAATGCGGCTGCGGCTATTTTCTTACATAAATAAACTAGCGCACGATTATCTACCATTGAATCATGTTTAGACATGTGCTATGTCTTTTGTGTGTATGCAAGTTTCATGTCATCAGAGGTGCGATAGTCTCGAGGCTATTCCAGCCTCAGTGGGTCTTCCTGCTCACCCTCTCTTTCCATGTACCTCTCCTTAAACCGATTCAGCAGTCATGCATTGTTTTGATACAGTCGAGAGATTCCGTAATTTTACGCTTTGACGCGAGGTCCCCGTAACCAGCAAAACTTTGTGTTTTGGAGCAGTCTACTGAATGTCCTGTATTGGCAAAATGTGTTCAGCGAGCTCAGAATTATGTTCACATAATCTCTTCTGGATGAGTCGGCTGGTCTCCCTCCACATATGCCTTACCACATGAGCGCAAAACCTGGTAGCAGCCTGATTGAGATAGAGGGTGAGCACATTTTCAAAAAAATGAATGAGGAAAAAAGCATTAATTTTTATTTATACATTATTTTGACGTTCCACGTTCTCAGCAGGTCACACAACGTTTTGTCAAGCTGACCGGAAGGCAAAATTAGGAACGGAGAAGAATGTTCCATTTGCTTATCTCGCTCCAAATAGCAATCTTTCTCCATTCTGTTACTGAGACTTGAAATGTACTTATCTACTAATCTTAATTGGTAACTATTTTAAATCAATGAGTATTAAGGCAGACAAAGGAGGAGCAATAGTAGTTATGGATAAGACTGATTATGTAGAGAAACTGTTAAAGGCATCAGATGATGATACAACATATAAGACTATGATTAGGCCTTAAGGTCAGACTTAAGGGTCTTCTGCAAGAATGTGCAAATAGTGGAGAACTGGAAAAGTGTAAAATGAATGCACTACCCCAGCGAGACGCTATACCCCCAAATGAGTATGGTCTGCCAAAAATGAATACGCAAAGTATCCACTTGGAATTATTGTAAACAATAGAGGTAGCGTGATGCATAAAACATTACGATTTATATGAACTCAGTTAAAGCAAATCTCCGAAACTTGGAAATTTTTAGTAATGAAATTGTACGATTTTATTAAGTAAATAGATGATAAAACGATAGAAAGAGGAGATTTGCTGGTAAGTTTCGATGTAGTGTCTACGTGCACTAACATTCCGATAAACGAGGCAATGAGGGCGTTAAGAGTAACTCCAGATCAACACCCTGAAATCATAAAAGTTAAAAAGCTAAGCAAAGGTTCAATCATTAGCAAAGTC